ACGAAAATGATTTTGTCATTTGCATAGCTCTGCTGATCGCTATTATCTCTCCAAGTTAAGCAAAATGTGAAACAAAACATAAAATGTAGAGAGTAGTTTGCAGTACCTTGCGAGGTGTGAAGACAACGAAAAAAGCAGACCAGTAAAGGCAGGCAATATCGGAGTCTAAGACCAACACGTTCCATATCTTCAACTGATAGAAATCGAAAATGATTGAAATGATTGAAATGAAAGCGGTAACCAGGTGCCTCCCTATGAGTTATAATGTCTTTTAGTGCGGTTTTAAAGAGGATTGCTTCAACCAGAAGCTTATGCCATTGGATCAGACCATGATATAATAACCTGCATTGTGTAATTTGTAAACTGATGATGTTCAAAGGAAGTCCTTGGAGCACCTGTCTCCGTGAGACCAAAGAGTCGATATCATAATTATTGCAGAAGGATATAGCAAAACCACCTGCACCTGCAAAAACAATCCTTTGACATTTTTGTTATTAAGAGAATGGCTCAATTGCTAAACGGGTCGAAGTAGCATGTAAGGCCTTTGAAAGTACGGGGTATGCAACTCTTAACAAGAGGTAGAGTAGATGTTACATTCGGGAAACACCTATTTGAATATCATAGAGACGGTAATGTTTGACTCGCCGTTTGCTTCAAAATTACACGGCTACGTAGAACTCAGTTGTACTGACAGCCATAAATTTACTGGCTGTTCATCAATTGAAAGACAGAGGTGTCACACAATTTGAATTTTCTACCTCAATCTCGTTTTAAGTAAATTTCATAAGGGATTTTCTTTTCTTTTCGTTTATTTTGGGTTGCGTTTTGTTTGGTTATGTTTTGTTCTGGTTTGCGTTAATTTTGTCAAATTTCGAAAGAGCGAATATAAACTTCTTTTTTATGCATTTCACAGTCGTGCAAAAGGTGGAAGGCGATCGATGTTGTGAAATATCTAAACACAGCGCAAGTTATTCAAAGCTATTGCAGCCAACGGGTGTTTTCCCTTCACAGTGGGTCGATCGTTTTTACATGAGGACAGCACTGAGCCCAACTGTCGCTCACGATCAGACCTAAAGTCCTCGCTCAGTTAACACCAGCTTTTGGCTTGCTCATAATTTTTTACTTTCTTTCCCCTTGTATGTAGATAAGTGAAAACAAACAAAATGTTTTGGGGCGGTTTCATGGACACCTAGTTCTCCACTAAATCTTTTCTTTCCCACAATAAAGTGTTACGCGGCATTTGAAATACACATTTCATGATAAATGGCGAGGGATTTAAATTATTTATTGGCCATGGGAACTTGTCACCACGCTTTAAAAAGAGATAAATAATTTTGGTCTTTAACCTATAAAGTTCTTTAAGGAAAGGCTTTTATAGCTTTCTATCACTTTCTCTTTGTAAAGATACTGGAAGTTGATCAGAGTCACCTCGGTGGTAAATTGATGTTTAGGCCGATAACACATTACCTTCAAATACCTCAATCGAGACAGAAAAATTCTTAGCGAGGGTAGGCATATTTCGTCAACTAATAATTCTGAAACAGACGGCTTGCTTCAAATAAACACAATACCATCTCTCGTCTGGAGATATAACCACGCTTCTCTGGCGTATCAAGGGGAAGTCTGTTGTT